TGGCAGTGCAGCAGGGGGACCTGGGTCTGTGTGTGCCTTGGAAACTGTGTGGCATGTAGCACAACTAGCCTCAGAGCACAGTCTCAACATGAAAGTTTCTTAACCCACAGCCTTAGCCCACCACCCTCCGCTGTGAGGGCCACCCTAGGGACTGTCTGCAATGCCACCTTTAGGGAAACATATTCCAGAGCAGCCTTTCAATCCTTTTGGCCAGTGACTTCTTAGCATAGATAAGAGTGTTTTGTGATCAGTTATGAGGCAGGAAGCTCCGGATCCCATGAGAAGTCTTCTGCCACCTTAGAAAAACTCTATCCATGGTCAGAAAAGGGTGTGCACCCACCACCCCCATGCCCTCCACTCTCAGGCTCCCTCTAGAGGCCATACCATCCCCCCAGACCATGTGCCTCAGCCCTTTCAGTGTGAGAGCTGGTCACTTGTGGCCCCTCTAGCATCCGGTCATCTGTTTTGTCATCTGCTCTTCGTGGTGGGTTCCAACAACAGGACGCTTCCCTGTCAATAGAGCAGTGTCTCCAACAGGGAACTCTGTGTTCTGGGCTGTAATCTTCTCCCCACTCTGTCCCTGAGCGTCCCCAGAGCAAATTGGCACAGACTCTGAGATTTATGTCATTTCTGCCTCAATAATCCTTACAAATGTTTGCCAAATGAGTGACTAAATAATAAATAGCTTAGCCCCAGTTTTTCCAAATTCATCTATTTGATACCTCATTTCCCAGACAAGTCCACTGCTGCCAGATCTGCAGGTCCCTTGTCAGGTTTAACCCACTCCAGGTCTTTGCTCCTCCCAGGCCTATCCTGCCCCTGAGAGAGAGAGAGGCTGGGAGGAAGGTTTGCAAGTGCTGACTGGATCCCCAAGGCTGGGGTATCCACAGGTTACTTCCTGAAGAGACCCTTCTTTCTCTTCTTTTACTTGTTTTATTTCTGAATTAATAGGTAAGATCTCATTGCAAAAAAGAATAGATTTTACTAATAATAGAAGTTTGTAAGATCCGTGTTTGGTGATGTTGTAGACCTAAAGGCATGACTTACTAGAAATGCCAGAGCAGCCAGGGACATAGGTTGGCATAAGGACTGTGGGCACATCATGGTGTCCACTATAAGGAGGGGTGGATAGAGATGAAGGAACAGTCACTCCTTTACTTGGCTGACGTAGACTTGACTGACCATCATCATAGTATTCTTTCATTGACAAGTAATGAATAATCGTTTTAGGCTTTTGGATTTTCAAAAAAGAATATTTGGGTGCTTGGCCTTGTTGAAGCCTACTACCAATGAGAAAATGTATTTGACACAGACATGGCTGTTTGAATTTCACCAAAAGAACATGACCAAACAGCACTGACACTAAGAAAGAAAGAAGGTGTTGGCTTAAACAAAGTGCTTTCTCTTTAAAAATGAATGGAAGAGTGAAATCCGATCATTCATTTGTTCTTCTTCATGGTCCAACTATAGCTTTAAAATTCTATGCAACTTGCTTCCCATAACTCCCAGGTTACTGAGGCTGAGACCACAGGAAGTGGAAGTCTTGGTGAATATTGCCCTTTTCACTTTGCATATGAATGTTCTAAGTATACTTTGACTTGCAGATACCCTGCATCTGGCACCGGAAACTATCTTGAATCAGGAGGTGAAGCCTAAGATTTTCATGTTTAGCACCCTCAAATTCTTTGGTAAACAGAGCATCAATGTCCACATGGATTTCATTAATATGTCCTAAAGGGGAAGGCTCCTTTGAAGCAGAAACATCCATTCTGCTGACTGGGTCAATAAAGGGAAGATTATTCTATCTAGATTCCTACATATTCCATCTTTTATTTTCAAAAGTCAACTAGTGAGGGCTGGGGTTCTGGCTCAGAGGTAAAGCACTTGCCTGGCAGGCACAAGGCCCTGGGTTCAATGCCCAGCACCACAAAAGAAAAAAAGAAATCAACTAACAAAATAAATTAGTGGGAACAGAGAAAAGGGCATCCCAGAAGGACAAACGCAGAGCCCCCCAGTGGCTATGCAGGCTTCCTAGACCTGGAAAGGGTTAGAAAAGTTCCACTTCTCTGACTTAAGCTGCCAAGTACCTTCTATCTCAAAGCAGGGGTGAGAATTCTTATGTTGGACCCTGTGTTCCATTCCTAGGGTCATCATAACTAAGTACCACAAGCTGGTGATGTAAACAATAGGAGTTTATTCTCACAGTTTTGGGGGCCAGAAATTCAATATCGAGATCATCAAGAAGTCAGCAGAACTGGTTTCTTCTCAGTCGCTTTCCTTGCCTAGTAGAGAGTCATCTTCTCTCTGTGTCCTCAAATGGTCACCCTCTGTCTTTCTGTATCTAATCTCCCCTTTTGCAAGGACACCAGCCAGAGTGGACAGGAGCCCACCCTATGGCCTCCAGTCTACCAGTAAACCACCCTATCTATCTCCAAACACTCATATCGTGAAGTCCTGGGGATTCCAACTTCAACAAATACATTGGGAAGGGGCACAGTCAGCCCATAACAGCTCTTTTCCTACTCATCCTTATATTTTAAAAATACAGTAAATTTTAATGATCTGCTCTTTTTTGCTCTGAGTTCTGTGCAAAACCATCCAGAAGTAAACCAGCAGTTCTCTTTCATCCATTTGGAAGAATGGATAACCCCTCTGTGGGCTTTCTTATCTGCATAGTCAATGTATCTGCCCAATGTGCTCCTCAATCTAAAGACCCTGTAAGCAAATTCCACAATCAAACCATGTAATTCTGAAGCCACAGGATTGCTTCAAGTACATTCCATTAAGACTGTTCCACGTGAGCCTGTGTGACTGTGACCTACCTGAAGGATACTGGGGGTGCCTGTCTTCAGATCTTAGGTAAAGAAAGGTGTCTTGGACCACATGAGCTGCTAGGTTTTAATCAACAATAGAGTGTATGCACACTTTCATCAAGTCATTCTGGAAAATGTTTTGACTCGTTCTTGGTTTTCAAAGACCTATGGTTCCTTGGAGGTTTCTAGAGCCAAGCAAAATCAGTACCATTGCATTGAATGTCTCAAAGAATGAGCTTTCTTAGAAAATAGCTGCCATTCACCATTCTCAGGCCAAAGGTACAGTAAGAAAGGCATTTCTATGGTACTTTCAGGTTAGCACTTCCAGGAAATTCAGTGAGAACAAAGCAACAAAGAGGTGCTTGAAAATTTGATCAGAAATAAGAAGAGGAAAACAAATCAAATAAAGTCGTGCATTTGCTGAGTACAGAGAGAATGGGCTCCATGGTCAGCTGAGCCTGTAGTAAGAAGCGTTTCTGGTGAAGCCTGCAAGGGTGGGGTGCTGGAGAAGGGGCCAGATTTTCAGACCCACTTGAAGAGAGATAAATCTTTTTGGCTCTACTGGGTGTGTAGAATATTTTGGTTGTTTATGTACAAGTGCTTATCTTTAAGTCTTTTCTAGACTCTTAAAAACATTATGGGACTTTTTTTATTTGTGGGGAGGGAATCTCCTCTATTATAAACTCATATTATTAAGAAAAGCTCAAGATTCCGTGGATACACACTGAAAGCAAAAGAACAGAATCAAAGACACACCTGCTATAATAAGCTCACAGAATAGAAAGGATCTCTGCCCCCCACGACCCTCCCTCCACTCTACTGTTTCTTGGCTGAGCAACACTGTGTGCTCCCCAGGTGGGAAGAGGAAGAGGTGCCTGGGTGTGTTCTCCAACTTTGTTTTTGCTAAGTCTGCTCTGTGTTTAAATTGGGAATAAGCCCATCAGATACAAGGAAAAAGAAATACTAATTACTTCATGCCTTCCAACCCCACACTCAACACAGTGATACTTGCTTATCTTTATACTGATAAAGTCAATTTAGCTTTTTCATCACTGTGACCAAAAGACCTAGGAAGAACAACATAGAGGAGGGAAGTTGACTTGGGGCTAACAGTCTCAGAGGTTTTGGTCCTTAGATGGCCAACTCCATAGCTCTGACCCTGAGGTAAGGCCATTGTGTTAGAAAGACATGGTACAGAAAGAAGCTCAGGATATGGCAACCAGGAAGCAGAGAGAGCTCTGCTCACCAGAGATAAAATCTAAATTCCAAAGGCATGCCCCCAATGACCTACCTTTTCCAGCTATACCCAACCCGCCTTCATTTACCACCCAGTTAATCCACTTAAGTGGATTCATGCATTGATTAGGTTAAGGTTCTCATGACCCAATGATTTCAGTTCTCAACATTCTTGCACTATCTCACACATGAGCTTTTGGGGGACACCTCATATCCCAGTGCCGCACCTCCTACAGCCATGGCCCACTTGCTTACTGTTACCACCCAGTATTCCATTCAATTTGCCAATTCATCAAATGGATTAATCCACTGATGAGGTTACAGGTCTCATCCTCTATCATCTCACCTTTGAACATTGCTACATTGGGTATCACGTTTCCAACACATGAGCTTTCTGGGAAACATTTAATATCCATATTCTAAAGGTAATCTTTCTTTTATCCTAATTTGATGAATAAGAAAACCAAGGCCCCCAGGATTGAGTAACTGAGAAAGATTTCTAAGGAAGCGGTGAAGCCTGTTGGCATTCAATCCCAAGCAGGTCTAGCTCCAGCTTCTGTATTGCTAACCCCTATCTCCTACTGTCAATTCCATGTGTAGGAATTTTAATAAAACATTTGAAATGAAAGGAAAGCATTTGGAAGAGATAAACATACCAAAAATTGGTCCATCACATGGCCTGCCAGTGACCACAGCTAGACTCATGACTTGCTGCCCTATTGGTCAGTCCTAGGTAGGTCTGTGCTGTCCAGGTCTCTGCCATCATTCTTAGATCAGTACATATCCTACAACACTCATGATGGCCAACACCTGCCATGGAACATGCTACTTCTGCACATCTTGATTTTATGGAACCCAGGCCTTTTCCCCAGGTCCTGCTTTTGACCAGTGTCATCCTTAACTCTTTGACTGTCTCCTGAGCTGCAATTGCTTTAGATTATCTTATCTGTTCTTTTTTTTATTGGTTGTTCAAAACATTACAAAGCTCATGACATATCATCTTCCATACATTTGATTCAAGTGGGTTATGAACTCCCATTTTTTACCCCAAATACAAGTTGCAGAATCACATCGGTTACACATCCACATTTTTACATAATACCATATTAATGACTGTTGTATTCTGCTACCTTTCCTATCCCCTACTATCCAAACTGTGGCATTTATACACAATGGAGTATTACGCAGCACTAAAAAATGACAAAATCTTATCTGTTCTTTATATGCAATGTTCATTCCATGGTTCACTCTCTCCCCAAAACCAGCACAAGTGTGTTAGCACCTCCCTGTCCCTCCTTCCTTGGAACCTCAGCTCTCTGTCTTGCCCAGCAGTATGCTGATGAATATCCAGGGCTTATCCAGCTTTGTAGTGAGTAATCTGTCAGGGCCCTTTTAGTTGGAATGGTTATCAGGAACTCTGTAATGGGTTCTGGACCCTTTCGACCTCTCCACCATTGTTCTCACCCTTAGCCCAGCTGTGGTCTCCTAAATCATTACCTTTCTGGCTGCAAGGCAGCATTTCTACAGAGATTTTAGCTTTGGCTTTAATGGGCAGAGAGATGCTTTTAATGGATTATGCTTTTGTCTGAGAAGGAAAACATGCAGGACACAGAGGGAAGGGAGAAGCTATGTTTTCTACAGGGACTTGGAGCAAAGCGTTGCCACTTGAGAGACCACTCATGGGTATTGAATGTGGTTCCTCACCTCCTCTGCCAAAGAACAGGACAGAAATAGACTGACAGTCCCTTCAAAATGCAAGTTGTGGGTAGTCATTGCAGAAGTGGAAAGGGAATCACCCCCTTCTTCCCAACTAGGGGAACTTCCCCACACCAGCCCCTGCCTAAGATTGGACTGGAGCATGAAGATGAAGGAGCCACCTAGATAGGAATATGGTCTGGGGCATGGAGCACTGGCCCTTGCTCCAGCTGAGACATAGCTATAGTAGGAAGATCTTTACTCAGCAGAGCCTGGGTCACTCAAGTGCTTCAGGTGGCTGACAAGTTGTCTGTGAGGCCATTGACTTTCCTGGGGTGTCCTGTGCTTCTGCCTCTGGTGACATTAATGGTTTTCTTGTTGCTTTTAATGATGTGGAGTGTGGTCAGCATCAGCTTTCCATGGTCCCTTCCTGATGTCCACTGCACCCATTCCCAAGACAAGGTGACATTCCTCAGACTGCCATGGCCACAGTACTTCCAGGGCTGGTGAGACTCCTTTCCCTGAGGGAAGGGGGAAGAAGGGGAAGAAAAATCAGTCTGTAGGAGAGAAAGTTCACACAAGATTATCAGGTTTGCTTCCCACATTAACTCATTCTGTCTCTGCATACAAGGATATCCATTCTCTGTCCTACTTGATCTTAATTGGGTTTTTCTATGCTTAATACCAAAGGATCTATGGCATATTGTTGAAAATATCTTCTAAATATCCAAATCAAATTGATTTTAGTCATTTTGAATTATCTTTAAACTTATAAAATATAGAAACGAAGCAAGAAGTAAAGCGTAGATAGATGCCCAGAATACAGACATAAATGTCAACCATATCCACCATCTTTGGTTCTGGAGTATTCCTGCAGTATAATAAATACTCTTATGAAGGATGGAGTGATGGCCATACCATCCAACATGCTCTTCAAAATGTATTGGACCCTCATAACACAGGCACATGAATTCAGGGGAAAATACCTGTGAGACAGTGGGACAGATGAGGGCTAATTTTTCCACTACCTTGTTGGAGATAATTAGAAATTGGTTTATGGAGTGTCCCAAACTTATTACGGATCACTCAAATCCTTGCTGTAAAGTATACATGTATATAATGCACTTCATATATACACCCTGTGTGTGAGTTCATATACATTTGTGTGTGAATGCCTTGAATACATACTTCATGCATTATCTAGACTTTACATATGACTATGGTTTGGATATGGTTTGAGTGTGTTCCCTAAGGATACATGTGTTGAAATTTAATCCCTTCATAAGGTATCAAGTTAGGAACTTAATCCAGTATGGTATTTAGAACTAAAGCCTCTGAGAAGTGATTGGGTTTAGATAAGGCCACTGGTAAGACATGGAGTTAGGTTATTGGATTCTTTGTCTCACAAATTTGAGGAATGAAATCCACAGACACAAGGGTGAGATCAAAATAACAGGATTTATTAGAGTAATAGAAAGAAAGCAGAGCCCCTGAGGGGAGGGACCCCAAGAGAGGGATGCGAGCAGGGGTCTGCTGTCTAGGGCTTTTTAAAGGCGTATCTGATGGCCCAGCATAGGTATTTGGTGCCAGCATGGACCAATCAAGCTCTTCAAGCTCTGAGCTTAATAAGCCAATCAGAAGTGCACGATTTCAATCCCACATCTGCATAATTAAAAGGAGGGGTCCAACCTTGTGGTTTAACATGTCTGTCTGGGAGAGCAAGCACTTCGGGTAGGGGTCTACTTTGTGGTCAGCTGTTGCCAGGTCAGGGGCAGGGTGACTGAGGAAGACTGCTGTGCTTGAAGCTGTGGGGAACAGAATCGGGTATTCTAACTCAGAAGAAGTCATGTGGTTAAAGTGGACAGGGAGCAGCAAGTCACAGGATGTCCTCAGACCCCATGTCTCCTTTCAGGTTGGCCTGTTGTCCCCTCCCCACCTTTCCTTCTCCAAGGCCCTTACCCTGGCTGCCTATGGGAGATCTATCTTTCTGCCTCACAAACATGGAACTCCCTTGATTCGGCTGGCTTCATAAAAGAGGGGGAGAGATCAGAATAGACACACACTCATGGGCTCCCTCATGCTTGCCATGGGACGCCCTGCGTACCTCAAGACTCTTCCAGGAAAAAGGGCATCACCACACGGAAACCCTTGAACCTCCAGAATTAGGAGCTTAAATAAACATCTCTTTTTTATAAAGCTACCCAGCCTTAGGTATTTCATTGTAGTAATACAAAGTGAACTAATACACATGTTATCTTGACTTTGCAAGTCACATGGACTTTAATTACTGTATAAATATATGTATTTTATAAACATTACATATCAAATAGTCTACTATTATATAGAGTTTATAAATTACATATATTTAATATTATAATCATCTTACATGTGATAACACTTTACATATGATATATATTTTACATATTATATATACCTTACATATTATACAGACTTTATATGTGAATTTATGAATTACATGCATTTTACATTTTATGCATAACAGACTTTTCATGTTCCCTCGGTGTGGGGATCTATTCACATACATGCGCTCCTGCCCCCTTCTCTATCCTACACCCTGGCATTATCCCATGGCATGCCTGGCTGCACCTGTCACCAACACAGTCCTCCCTCCCCACCACCCTACAGACCTCCACCCTTTCCTGCCCTGGCTGCTCTCAGGCAAGGTCCACTGCAGCCCAGAAGGAGCAACACCAAATACCAGTGAGTGGCTGGTCTGTGCCGCTTGTGGTCTGTGGGTCATGTGAAAGACCACAGCTCTCTAGTTGCTGCTTCTGAGGAATCTGGGCCCACCCTGAGCAAAGGAATGGAAATTCAGCTGCCAAGTCTGCACATGGTGGGGCACCAACCAAAGTCCCACACCACAAGTGCAGTGAGCTTATGCTGCTGGCCACGGGGCTGGGACCACCAAGAAAGGGCAGTGGTCACTTACTGGCTGGTGGCCCCAGAATCTCTGCAGCTCCAGATCCTCCCAGCACAATCTACATGGCACCCCCAGGCTAGGTTAACCCTGTGAACCTTCTCATACCCTTCCCATCAATCTTGATAGTTACACATCAGTGGGATGGGAATCTCATGACCACTCAGCTGGGACAGTGTGATTCCAGGACAGTCCTACTTGTCAGCCAGAAAAACACAGTTGGCAACCATCATCGCTGTACACTCAGTTCCAGGAGTCTAACTACGTGTTCTTTTTTCATTGCAAATCTTGCTTTCAGAAGACATCACATGGGCCATTAGAAATCCTTAGCCCCCTCTTGCAAGAGGTAAGTTCTTAAAATTCAGACAAAATTGACTGAAATGGGATGAACTTGAGATTTCTGGCCACAGCTATCTCACATTAGTGGAGAGGCTATAAATGTAATAGTTCTCTGCTGTTGGTACTAATAAGTGAGCCCTGGGCTGCCTCTTTACAAAGAACGAATAATGAATACAAGTCCCTGGTTATTCAGAAGAATATAGGCACAAATATTTCCACCACATAATTTTTCGGATGTATTTTTCATTTCAAAAGCTCCCTTCATCCATTGAAGAATGAAGTTGGTGACAATGTCTCTTTCTTCTGATGTTAACGTTTCTGGTCCAGTGTGAAATCTCTTCATCTGCAGAGGGTTTGTGGGAGACGTGAATCATTCTGAAGGCTGAATAAATGCAACAATGGACAGAATAAATCTGTGTGCACTGTAATGTCTAAATTGTCCTTCAATTAAGTTTGAGAGGTTTGTGAGAGCTTTAATTGATCTCTTTTTAGATACAATGAGCTATCAAAAATGGAATACTAAATAACAGGCTTTTTTGTCAGTGGATGCTATTAAAGGGAGTAGGAAGCTATTTTGAAATGTGTCCTCAGCATATTGATTGCAAAGGCTCTGCAAACCTACCTGGAGGACATCCTTCACAGGAGTCATCCTTCAGAAATGTGAAGGTCCCGAATGCTCAGCCCTCTTCAGGGGAACTGAAGAAGATTCAGCAGGACGCTGAGGTTCAGTCTTTCATGGTTTCATTTCCGATTCATGTTTCTGGCCATGCATGTCAACATCCTACAACATAGGAACACAGAGAATAGGGAGAGGGAAACGCACCCCAGATATTTTCCAAGATGGAATCCCACCTGCTTCAGCAACTCAAGGTTGGTGAAGGTCCCACTTTGTTACCACTCTCAGCAGGGCCTGAACAGCCCAGTCACCCTATTACAATTTGGAAAACAAGGCTTGCATGACAATCTGCTTGTGCAGACAACTGTAACTACAGGGCCCACATTGTGCCTGAGTGGGGAATTTCTGCTCCCAACGGCACAGGAGAGACTCCTGTCCCCATGGGATATTTCATGAGGCTGCCCAGAGTGCTCGGGGTGGTGCAAGCTGTCTTACCTCCATCTTATTTCTGACCATGCTGGCTACTGAACAATTCCTCATTCCCGGGTCGTGGAGCAGATGTACCCTTCTCCTTGTAGAACCTGTGGACTTTCCTTGAGGGACAAGAAAATATGTATCAGCCAGGAATGAGCAACTGAAAATAAAATCCTGTTTTTGTTTTTTTGTTTTTCGTTTTTTTGGTCTTGAAAACAGAAGACTTGATTTGCTTCCTAGCCTAAAAAAAAAAAAAAAATCAGAACTGCCACCACTCAAATAAAATCCAAACTGTCTATTACACCTCTAATTATCAGCTTGCCTTCTAGGTAAAATGGTACTATTCAATTATTGGTTTTTGTTCACCTGTCAGCTACCAAAAAAAATTATCACTGCTTTCAACCACTAAAAGATCCAAAATTCTGCAAATTGCTTTTTAAACGTACTCACTTCAGACCCAATACCTCTGTGCAGAGTGTCAAAAACTGTATAATGTCATGTTGCTTGCAAACCATACTTAATGTGGCTGTTTCAATGGTTTGTTGTACATTGTGTAATTTTATTGAAATGATTTCTTTTGTCACCACTTTCTATGTGGCTCATTTTGACACTTCCCACTTATCACATAAAATATAAGTTGGATCCAGCCCCTGTAAATAGAAGCAAAATTGTCAAACAATAGTATGTTGCTTTAAATCCCTTTGTGCAGTGATGGCAAGAACCAGCTCTAACAGGTAGATTAATTTCAGGATTCCAGAAAAGGTGAGCCTCTCTAAGGTCCAGCTCATTCTTTATCCTTCCTGTTCCAAAAGAGTGAGACTGGCCTCGTTAGTGCAGTCTTAGAGTCACTACTCTTGAACGCTACCAAGTGTAATGTCTGCTACCTCTAGTCCCTGGGATCAAGGCACACTGTAGTGGCTGAAGTGTTTACATCAGGCCGGATCAAGACATGGAAATAACACTAGCAGCTCATTATCAGGCACTGAGCAGGTGCAAGATTCGTCACGAAAAGACAATTCTCCTTTATTCTCATTATCAGGTTTTTCCTTAAAACACATAAAATGAGTAACAGACACTGTTGCACATATGGACAAAAAGAAAAAGAAAAAAAATTTTAAAAGAGTTCAAGAAATTTTAAATAATCTGTCAAGATCCCAGTATCATGAAGACAGACTTTGAGCCCATATTATTGCCACTCAAGTTTCCATATTGAGCCATCCTTATATAAAGGAATCTTTGCTATAATCTCATAATGGAAACTCTGGCCTTAAACTCTGTTTTAGTCAGCTTTTCATGGCTGTGACTAAAGAACCCAACTAGCACAATTGTAGAAGAGAAAAGGTTTATTCAGGGGCTCACAGTTTCAGAGGTCTCTATCCATAAGACAGCAGACTCTGTTCCTTGGGGCTGGAGGTGAGGCAGAATACCATGGCAGAGTATGTGCCAGAGGGAAGCAGCTCACATGGCCATCAGAAAGGAGAGAGAAAGAGAGTCCACTCTCCAGATACAATATATATACCCCATGGCCCCGCCTCCAATGAACCACTTCCTCCAGCCACACCCCACCTGCCTCCAGTTACCACTCAGTTAATCCCATCAGGGGGTGGTCATTTCACTGATTAGGTTAATGCAAAATCTTCTTGCATTGTCTCACATGTGAGCTTTTGGGGGACACCTCACATCCAAACAATAATAGACTCCAAAGACGCATGTCCCAGGGCTGCTATTAAGGCTGTGTGGATCTGGCAAGGTCACTTTCCCTCTCTGTTCTAATACTTTGTACCTGCCCTATGAAAATATGCCTGCTGCCCATCAAGTTCCAAAGACAGTGAAAAGGAAAGAAGGAGTACATAGTTTATTTCCTTTTTTTTTTTTTGTAAGAGAAATTTCAAGTTTTCTAATTTTGCTTGGGATGATTTAAGAAATGAAGTTTTATACCCAGACATTTAGAGTCCTTGTTTTCATGATTTTAGTTATTTATGAAATAAATACATAGATAGATTCATAGTGATGGGTCATCCAAAAGAGTGTCTTCTCTGCCCTCTATATCGGATGCTGCTTTCTGAGGACAATGGGAAGATGTTAATAGCAGAAATTTCCAGTAGGTTCTTCTGACTGACAGTATCTCCTGACCCTAAATGGTGAAGAGAAGGGCAGCCCCAAGCCTTGCAGAAAGACCCTACGGGGGAGGCCAGAGCTCCAGAATACCACAGATTCCGTGGCTTAAATAATAGAGATCTGTTTTCTCAAGTTTGGCAGCTAGAGGTCCAAGATGGCAGTGCCTGTACAGCAGTTGAGTTCCTCATGAGGCCCCTCTTTTAAGCCAGCGAATGGTACCTTCTCACCTATCTTCTCATGATAGAGAAGGAGGGAACTCTGGGCTCTCTCTTCTTGTCAGGGAGCCCAACCTCATGGTATCATCTAAACCTAATCCCCTCCCACAGGTCCCACCTCCTAACATCACCAGCCCATTGGGGTCACAGAGTCTGCATATAAATTGGTGGGACATATTCAGTCATTAGCAAAGAGGCTGAAACCAGTCCCTCAAGCAAACTGCACTCTCAGGCCATTTCCCCAAAGTTTCCTGGGCCTGGTTGTTGCACCATGGTCTCTACATTTTATTCCCTTTTTTTAAAATTATTAGTTGTTCAAAACATTACAAAGCTCTTGACATATCATATTTCGTACATTTGATTCAAGTGGGTTATGAACTCCCATTTTTACCCCGTATACAGATTGCAGAATCACATCGGTTACACATCCACGTTTTTACATAGTGCCATACTAGTGTCTGTTGTATTCTGCTGCCTTTCCTATCCTCTCATTTTCTTCCCTCTTGAGAGACCAGATTCTGAGCTGTCCAGAAAACCATAAAAGAAACGTGACTCTACCACCCATTGAAATAAATGAAACACAACTGGGCAGGAGGAGACCTGTGCTTACCCACATCTGAAACTCACCCTGTCCCTGCACCACTGCAGACCAGCATTTAACTTCTATTGACTGGTAGGGGCTGGGGGTCAGGGACAAGGAGATTCACCCGGCCCAGGGAAGTCACACCTCATTAGGAGGCCAGAGGTAAGCAGAAGCGCGGACCTGTCTTAGGACAGCTTGAGTTATGTTGACAGGGTCCCCTCAAAGGGAAGCAAGTGTCCTGGCAGCAGATGAAACATGCTTCGCTGTCACCTTCCACCCACAATAAATGGATGGCCTAGAATCTCACCATCAGCGACATTGCTATCTGGGGAAAAATGGAAGAGTTGAGTTTGATGTTATAAATCACCATAATTTGTTACAATTTCCAAAGACAAATATGACAGGGTGGAATTACTTTGCTGCGCTGAGGCAGTCATTTGCAGAAGCCATAAAGTGCCAGTATAAATCTAAAGACGAGATATATTTAATCTGAGGAAACAGAGCACAATATCACTTCGGTATATTGTGTTTACCAAGAACTTAGCTATCTGGCTATTGCCAAATGTTCATTGCGTTTCAACCTCAGACTGATTCCTGGATAAAGAGTCCGTTGGCATCTGGGAGGGATCCTCTTCCATGTTTCCCATTTACTCTGTTGGGGAAGAGAAGAGCTGGCGTTGTGTTGCCCAGGAACGATATGAATAGCAGAGTCCTGGCAGAACTCACGGTTCTATGAGCACCCTACCCAGGGCAGACTGGAGGAGGAGATGAGACAGGCATCATGCTTCATCAGGAGCCTGCTGAACTCATCGCCGCTGGTTGATGGAAAAATAGCTCCCGTTTGTTACACATCCACTCACTCATGCAGCTTTCCAGTTCTTGACACCTCTCTCTCCAAGCTCTGTCCTGGTCCTTCCCTGTCTGTAAGGAGCTACGTGCATGGATTGTAGTTCCCAGAAACAGATGTTAGTAGGAGCACCCAAAAGTGAGATCAAAAGTGAAACTCAAGAACTGTAATGAGCACCATCACTTCTACAAACTCAGGCAGGGTCCCTCTACCCTAGGAGAGATGGTTTCATTTGAGAAACATCAAGGAATATAACAACTGTGAAATGACTTAAACTGGCTATTTCTAGAAACTCTAATGAGCTGCTGTTTGGATCTGCCCCATACCAGCAATTCATCTTGGTTCTGAATGGCCGTGAACTCTTAACCTGACCCCAACCATGTGAATGATCCTTGCACCATACTCACTGTGACTGTGCTGTCCGATGGACACAGAAAGAATAGACTTGCAAGAAGTAGCTCCTGCCGTCTTCCAAAAGAGAATAAATTATTAAAAACAGAAAAAAATCATATGCCATCCTTCCCCCAAACCAGTAAAAATTTGTAATGCAGAGGAAAACCCATTGTAAAAATAGAAAAAAAAAACTGTAATAGTTTTAAGACTTCACAGAACATCTGGATTGCAAGTAGTCTGAAAAGCCTGGGATGGCCCCAATTTTCCTGCATTGGAACCCAGGGTGCTCTGAGTCTTCCTGCAAGCCACGGGCATGGTTAATTCCAGCAGCTGGCCTGTGGCAGTGTCTCAGCCCTGTGTCCTGGCAAACCTTGGCACTGCAGAGCCAAATGAAAATATGCCTGTTTCCAGAAGAGCAGAATATCTTCCAGGTGGTTCTAAGCCAACACTGACACTCCCCACAGCAGGGGACACTGCACTCAACCCTTTAGAAGGCAAGCAACTCACAGGATTCTGGGAACTTAATGGCAAGCCTTGTATTCTCTAGCATCTGCAAGGACCCTGGAATTCTCAGCTCAAAGATTACCAGGAGAAAGTAAACTCAGTCAGATTGACTGATAACCAATAAGTGTTCTTCTATGACCAGCTGCCTCCAAAAACTTTGTATTGAATTATAAAATACATGCGGGAGGCGAGGGGAGGAGGACATATAGTTATATATGTCCTCCTCCCCCCGCCTCCCGCATGTATTTTATATCCCACACAGTTAAATTCCCACAAATTGAACACACAAGTTTATAAAACACCTGATCCAGAAATAGAACTTTTCCAGCCCCCAGAGGCCCCCCATCCTGTGCTTTCTCCAAGTCCTCAGCCTCAAGGATTTTGACCAGCCTGACTTCTAAATGCATAGATTAATTTTGCCCACTTTTCCAAACATATGATCACACATTCCTACTAGAAAACACTTTTTTGAGCAAGCATTTTATATTTTTCTTATTTATGTATTTATCTTATATATGTGTACTATTTATAATACTTCTATATGACTTACACAATAACCTGTACACACTGCAGGATAAAAAAAAATATGAGACATGTATGAGGACTTCCAATACTTTCTCCCAACATTCCAGACACCAATGACTTTCAATATAACTGCTCTATAGAAGGAAGGAAAAAGAAGGACAAAATAGGGTTCTAATAGGTGCTTATTTGGTGTGAGATATTTAGAATTCATCACTGCAAGACATTCCAAAGTATTTGGACTTCCTTGATTGGCTATAGAAAGTGCCCAACAGAAAAGCATGTCCCTTCTTGCCTCACAGCCCTGGTATGGTCATCCATCTGTGTCACTCTCTGCTGCCTTGGTGTCCCCAAAATGCTTATGCAGAAAGGCATACCGTTATAGTGATTTTGTAGCATGACGTGAAATAGTGCACTTATATCTAGTGTCATTATCAGTTAGACCCTCTGAGAGTTCCCCCTTCAGTGGTTTTGATCTGGGGTGGAAATTCCCCCATGTGACCCCGAACATGGAAGGTGGAGTCAGTTTTCACGTTTCTGCTTCTCTCAGTGAGCCAGATTATGGTGTTTCCCTAGGATCTTCTGCCTGTGGGAAGTCCCAGGGAACTCCCCATGGTTAAAGACATATATCTTTTAGATAACTAACTGAGTCCTTTAGATAACAAGTGAGTCTTTCCTTCAAATGTTTCTCTTTTGAAAAAATCTCTCCTAGGATGTCATATTGCCAGTTGAAATCACCAGGGCACAAGACTTCAGCTGGATTTGGGGGACAAAGGCCTGGAAGTCACCTGATGTCCTTTCTTCCCTGTAATTTAGTAGTCACCCCGACCCCAGCCTAGCATCTGCTCACTCCCTAAAGCTAATAGCAGCGAGAGGGGAGGATGACGTGTTCTTTGGACTTGCCTCTGTTGAAATCATCTCAGCCATCTCTTCTACTCTCCAAGTCCACCCTCCATGGAAGGACCCAGGCAGCATGTCACAGCTTCCCTGTTCACTGTATGCTACATGCAGCACCAGCTCAAGATAGCTGTCCTGATCTCCACTACTGGCCTCTGCTGCTGTTGAAGTTCTAGGATTCACGTCTCTATCTTTACTCCCCATTTGGACTGTAAACTCAAAAACGCTCGAGTTGTGTATTTTATTTATTGGAATTTCTTGCCTGTGTCTATACACTGCTGGCTCCATACAGCAGTTTTAAAACAATAAGCTGGGCGAGGCAGGAGTAGTGAAGAACAAGCCCTGGGGAGGACCATCAGTGAATATGAGCAGTCTTTGGGAAAAGGGCTTAGGATCCATAGCAGCCCCTACGAAGCAGCTAGTTGGCAGGAAGACAGAAAGGGAAGGATGGTGGGAGGAACAGAAGCGTGCTCTTCCTGTGCAGGCCAGATCCTACGCAGCCTCCTCCTCACACACCCGACTCTGTGAATGGGGGCCAAGAACAGGAGCCAGGTCCTAAGATGCTGTCAAGGCCAGCAGGTATGAGCACTGTCAGCAGTCACAGGCTCACGGCGACACTTGGCCATTCCCACCTCTCACCACACTGCTTGAAAACCTCCGTCCAGCCTCTCCTCCATCTCTTCAAACCAAGACCTCTATTACCAACCCAAAGCCTTCCCTCTCCTCCTGTTAAGGCTTTATTTCCCATTTCTCATCTCTCCTGGGGTTTTACTCCATTAATTTTCTTATATCTCCCTGGTCTCCCAGGTCCAAGACTGGCCATTTCCTTGAACACGGGACCCATTTGTACAATTTTCTAGTTATACAAACCCATTGAACTCTACGTACCTATCACTGATCCATTTGATAGAATAAGCCAATTCACTAAGAGTGTGGACTTTGATGGGAAGACTTGAGTTAGGTCCTGGCCTCAACACTCTTTAAATGTTGTATCTTATGCACCACCAAATGCCTAGCTTCCTGAACCAGAGGGTGTGAGTTAGTGAGGGCTGGTATCTCCTAATATCCTTTCAAAGAAGAACCATGGAAGCCTAACTAAGTGGTTACTGGACCACCCCACTTTCCTGCATAAAGTCCTCTTCAAGAGCTCTGTTCCACCAACAATCGGACCCACACTTAGCTCTTCAAATCCATTACATGCCACTTTCCACTTGATACGCATAATCTGTTGAAATCCAGCTTATGCCGTGGTTCTCATTAAGCACCATGTCTCTGCTCATGAACACCCTCTGGGGCCTTGATTGTGTCTCCTCCCTGGATCCCCTGTCTCCCTGTCCTTGAGCAGATACCCTGCTGTGCTTGATCAGGAGTAAAGACTTCTGAGGGGGGATCTCCCTCCTGTGGGTCAATGTTGCAGGCAGGATGGGTCCTTGCTCTATGCTTCTAGGGCATGGGGTCCACAGACTTCTCAGAGCTTCTGTCAAAGCACACATGGCACTGTATTGCCACCATCTGACTACATTTCCCACTAGAATAGATGTGTCGATGCCAAGTGCTTCTCTCACTCACTACCTCTCCATCCCTCCAAACTGACCCTCACAGCCGAGGTTTATGAAGACACTGAGTGTGATGCTGGGTCCCAACTCGTCACTTGGAAAGAGTAGAGGTAGCTTATGAGGACATGTTTGACCCAACAGGTCAGAAAAGAACATTGCAGTCTGTAAATCATCTTTCAGTGATGTTAGTAAGCTAAAGTGCCATACCTGAAAAGATCTACCAAAATAAATGCTCAGGCTCCATGATTAACTCTTTGAAGACAGGCCTATGTGTTGTCTCGGTGCCTCTCACCATGTCTAGCACAGGGCTTTGCCTGAGTAAGCTGAGGAAAAGGGGACTAAGCACTGGTTTCTTATAAATGACCCTCCTGGGACCAACCCCGGGAGCCCTGAGTCCCCCACTGACTCTGTTATATGGAGCAGCTGTTGGCCCCTACTGCTCTGGTTTCTGACTCTTGTAGCCACCACCCCTATTTCTTCCAAGAGTTTTCTCTCCCTGAGACTCTGTGGAGCTGAATGTATTATAACCTGTGTTCTCCCTTTTCTGAGGCATCCGCTCACCTTTCTGAGGTGAAGCTAGGCCCCGTGCAGAGGCTAACAGCAAATACCAAAAAATGCTAAAGGAAGAAAAAGACCAAAGGAAAAAGATCTTCAACACCCTTGTCCAGACCAGGGAACACATCTTAAGCATTTCTAGAGGTTCCAGACTTGTGAACCCAATAAGGCAGGTGACCTGGTGCCGGCCTGTGTCTGTGTGTGATCCAAGGTGCAGAAAATGAGGAAGTAAGTCACACTAAGCTGGGAGGCCTCAACACACACCTCCACTCCCCAGAACACCAGTGTGCTTCCAACTCTTCCTGATCAAAATTATCCCTCCTGGGTCTTCATCTGACTCAGACAGGAGGAGACATTGGGAATGTGAATACAGAAATGCCAAAGGCCTTCCAAGCTGCTCTGGCCTTTAACTTCCAATGGAAGAAATTGTTCTGTACTCTTTTACACCTAGCGTGTGTCCTTTGAGAAACCAAATCAACCTTGCTCGCTCGCTCTCTCTCTCTCTCTCTCTCTCTCCCCCCTTCCCCCTCCCTCTCTCCCTCCCTCCCCCTTATGTCATCAAAACCCAATATTTTCATCCTGGATATCCAGGAAATAATTACAACTATACCTGTGGTTTTAGTAATCTGAAAAATGTCTTAAAAATACTCACCTATGATTGAATTAAAAAATGTTTCTCAAAATGCAGTAGCCACAGGCTAGACATTGACTGGCTCCACTAGAGCCACATGGTCCAAAAAAGATGAGGAAGGAAGTCAAAGAAGTTTTCCTTCACCACAGAACTTATTTGGGTGCTTAATATGCTGCTGTTATCTCCAAAGAGGAGAGGAAACATGTGGCAGATCTTTCCCGAGCTATTTTTTTAAGCCTCTAACTGTGGAACTTAGTTTCAGAAATATCCTGCTTGAGCACTATGAATCCATCCCACTTGGCATTTAGGGCAGCACATTTGTGGCCAAGGCAGCAACCGATGCTTATACCTATGCTGAGGCATGAAAGTCAGGAATTAAAATGGCCTTGAGGCCCTAAGCATCCCTAAAGTGCTCCCCAAGTGGCCATGCACTCCTGGTAGGAGTCACATCATGCCTGGGTCACAGCCTCCACGTCTGTGATTAAAAGACCATGTTGACACAGGTAATAGTGATTGGGTCTTGCTGCTCTCCAGGGCAAAGAGGAAAACTTAATGAGCATGGCTTCAGCGAAGGTTGAATGCCAGGACCTTGCCCTACACCTCCCCTGGGTTACGGAATGGAATGTGATTTCTCCCCTTCATTTATGTGAGATCTCATTACAGGTAGTGCCTGATGCCTGTGGGTTTCTGTGGGTCTCCTGGGGAAAGCCTGAGGTGTTGCCATGTGTCTTATTATCAAGATTTATGCTCCCTGGAAACCCTCCGCTCTCTGTCCACGCTTGAACTTTCTGGCTGGGTGCTTCTCCACACTCTACCCTAGCCCACCAAAATAAAGGCCTTATTGACCAGCTGGAGGGTAGGCCGCAAGCCCTTAACCAGCCAGCCACATCTTCCTAAAGAAATGTGCCGGTTTTCCATCATTACTGCTGGTGTTTGGGGATATAAAAAGCCCATGACTTTGTCTGGGGCCCTGGCTGGGGTGCCCAGCATGTGGCTGATAGGATGATATGCTGGGGTCACTGCCCAATGAGGTGTGGATAATTTCTATGAGATGACATTTCTCAACAACTTGAAGACCTTTTTAGACACGATCCCTCATATCCTGTTGGGATAGTAATTCCATCTAATTCATGTGGCCTTCAGAAAACAGTACACTGAAGCTGGAGGATATTTGCCATGGCTCACCAAGCCCAAGGCCCCAGCCAGGGCCTCCTGATTTCACCATTTAGCCTGTGACCTGCACTGACTGGCCAGCTCTGCCCTCGTGCCCTTGCTGTTAACTCTCATTAAATACACTGTAAAGAAGTGAGCCAGCAGCTGACCTCATTCAGTGTTTTGCATTAAAGTCCTTAGCTGAATACTTAAGCCCACCACTTGCTGAGGAGGTCAGGACTTCCAGCCCTTCTACCAAGATGACCATGGTGGATGTTCATCCGCATTTGACAGTTGGGAACTGGAGCTCAGGGATCACAGGGCCCACTCCATCAGCTACCTGTCGCCTGTGAGGTTGGAGTTTCACACCCTCCTTATGTCCCTTGAGTCCATGTGTGACAAGCTTCCTTGAAGACAGGCTGGAATGAACCCCTCCACAGTCCACAAGAGAGGGGCCATGACAGCCTCCTTGGGAGCAGCCATGGAGAGTGGGCTGAGGATGTTCCCCGTCTGGTCTCTGAGCTTTTTTTCCCACACTCAGGGAGTGAGAGCAGCACAGATTGCACCCTGCTGGGAGCAATTTCCTGTGTGTGGTCCCCCTGTTGGGATGCACATTCAGCATCCACAAGGAAGTCTGCACCCAACACCAGAAATCCTGGAGCAATAGTAGGTGGGAGCAGGAAGGATCCAGGAAAGGTGACCACAGAGAAAGGTACCCAAGGAAGATGAGCAGAATGTCCTTGCAAGGTCTCCATGAGCAGTGTTAGAATCTGGACATATTTTACTTACAGAGAGAGCAGTGACTTGAGGAAAGAAGTTAAAAGCAGGGTTTCAAAGGAACACAGGCAAAGTTGTTTCCCACCTCGTGACCTGCAGGCAGCACCCCTCTCGAAATCCCAAAGGGTCTCTTCACCCAGACATGCCACCCACCAGTGCCCAGCGGGGTAGCAGCTGGAGAACAGAGAGCTGTACTCACCCTGCAAAACACCTCTCAGGAGAGCTCCCCAGCCCTGCTGTGAGATGAGGACTGTTATCCTGTATTGGACTTCCAATGGTTCCAGCCCTGACACAAGCAGCCTTCAATACCCCAACTCCTCCCCGGCTCTTGGAACAGCCCGGAGCCCTCACAAGCACACCCACTGAGGTCGGAGTGATTTGTTGTTTGATTGCCTCTCCTGCTCTGTCGAAAAAGCAAAAGCCGCTCTCAGGTCTGGCTTGCTCTGGGGCAAGAGTCAATAAAAGGCAGAGGGAGGTCCCCTGAGGACAGCAACACACATATTTAGATAGGCTTGTGTTTTTCTGCTAAAGCTGGAGCCTCCCTGTGATATCCATTCAGCCAACTTAGTTTTAACATCAGATAGAGATCTGGTCTGTCTGTTTGTTTGGCAGAATTACACCATCTCAGGCTTCCTGGGTTCTTTCATTCATGTCTTCTCCACATCTCAGAAAACCCTTAGCCTATTCCTGTTCCATATTTTGTTTTGTAGACAGACCATCAGAGGCACCATATTGCTTGGAAATAATGGCCAACATATAATGTCTTCTATTTCTCAGAGGAAACCAACCAGCAGATATCACATTATTAAATTCTGATCCCTGATGGAGACACCGAGTGTGTAGATAGGACTCAGAGACCCATGCAGACATGAATCAGGCCTCCAAGATATGACTGGGCAACTTCTCTGGGCCTTGTGTCCCATTTCTTTAAAATGTGAACAAAAATTGCAAGTTGATGAGGTGCATAAGTATTTGTAGAACATTTAGAGTCAAGGAACAGGTGTCACATGGGTGATTGATTTCACAGAAAACCACTCACAGGACAACTGTGCAGGTGCCATGATCAGATTTCTGATTAGGAAAAATTGCCACCTGATCTTGCGTGTTTGCACTCTTTGGCCAGCCAGTAACTTTCTGCTATCCCTGGCCTTGCTCCAATACCCTCTGCCTGCAGCAACAAGGGTCATCTTCAGGCTTTGTGAACTGAGAATGACTCTGCCCTTTCTTAACCCTGTAACAGCTGAGAGTTATTTGGCTTAACCAAGGATTCACCCATGATCAACAGATGGGCAGACCCCATCTCAGCTCTTCCCAGGAGACTTGGCTCATGGTCCAATGGTCAGATGCAAACTCATTAGAAAAGTGACTACTCATCTAAGATATAAACCAGTGAGCTCACTGACCTGTCCAAAAGCATGTCCCTTGAATGAATAAATTGCGATGGAGGAGAAATAGTCTAGACAATCTTTTCAGAAGGCCCCAATTTAGCTTTTGAATGGTATTTCTTTAGGCTGATTTTCAGAACTGCATCGCTTTGTTTAGTTGGAATGGAATTTATAGAATATGCAGAGAAAATTCCAAGAGGTAATTTGCTTTCTTCTGAGTCAATAGCATGTAACAAGATCCCGCTGTGCAGAGGGGCTGGGACTCATGCTACACACACACACCCGTGTTTTTCAGCTCATTATCATAGTGAGGGTTCTAACATTCATCTGTGGCTTGTGCTTATAGAGTTAGTGTAAGATAAACTGCTAATGCATTGCCAAGTGATAGCTTTAACTGCTCATAATGGTTAGAAAGTATGTAAGGAGGCATCTTCCTGTGTGTACATAGAGAGCTATGTAAGAATCAAGTCAGGAATCCCACCTCCCCACCAGGAACCTGGCCTGCCTGAGACTGAAGGAATGAGGACACTCCAGAGGCCCTGTCCAAACTCACCTAAGGACACTTCCCAAACTACTAATGACAAGTCCCACCCAACCCTGGAATCAGAATCCTCAAGGAGAAAGGGGACATTATGAACATGCACTCTAATTATTCTAGTCAGTACCCCTGATTGACATCTGGTAAGTGGGAGAAAGTCCTCACTTTATAGTTGATGCTGCAGAATCAAACATTAAATTAGATAACAAAGCAAACATTGTTTTGTTGGTGCCTCCCATTAGTATTTAGTCGGCCTGTTGGATAAAGCCAACTCTCTCAAAGAAGTATGTTCTAGCTCTCTCTGTTTCTGGAGTAACTTATTCATTCATCTTGGCACCCATTTTGCTATCAGCAAAATGCACAGGATGTCCATCCTTCCTTTTCTATGAAGGATTATGCATAATAGAAAAAATGGCTCTAGATTCAGGGATATTTCCTTAGTTCATCCCTAAAGGGACACTGCCCAGGGACAGGGCTACTGACAGTTCACAGGAAAGAGATCAAACAGAGGGACCTGTCATGGAGTGGACACTATGGTCTCTTTCTCCATCATAAATAGAAAGCCATTGATCACCCAAGATCAGAACAGGAAATAATGTGAGAAGACCAAGTCCTTATGAGTTACGATGATAATGGTAAAGGACTACTCTTGATATTGGTTTTGCTGGTTTCTTCAAAGAAAAAAAAAACACAGTATAGGGAATTATAGATAGATGTAGGATTGTGGAAGGAAAAAAAATAGCATCAACAAAGCATTCAAAGAACGATTTGTCTTCAGGAAAAGAAACATTGATGAATAAGAAAATGCCTGCAGAGAGAAGGTGGTGGGAGCATTAATAATTAACTCTCTGGGGACAGTGCCCAAGGATTTTTTGCCCTGTTACAAATTACAGGCCTAAAAGTATTCGTTGCGCTTAAGACACGATGTGATTGTTTTTTTTTAAAGAAACACACAGAAAATACATAAAATACTGAGAGGGACTTTAAGAGGTATTGAAAATCAGATATGGAATATAGGCTGTGTATATTCTTTTAGAAAGAAAATTGATTTTTAAGGTACCATTGCAACAATACCCAGCGTAAAGTGATCATCTTAGTGAATGAAGTACTTGGCAGAGTTGTGGTCAGTGTGGAATATTGTAGATCTGTAGTCCACTTTGAGCTAGAAGTAGGATCTAGATCTAGATCTAGAATAGTTTCTAGCAGGATCTGAAAACTGTAAACGCTAGAGGCCCAGAAGTCCTTACATCTTTGGGATGTTGGTTGCACCTTTTACCAAAAGGTGCTTAGGAGGAAGAGGTTGTGTGCCGGACAGCAGCATGCTAAATGATTTTTTTTCATAAAAGGGTAGATTTGTAAGATGAACCCTGTGCTCTCAGGAAGAAAAAGCCTATTCACTCATTCACTTATCCAGACATTTGGCGATTATTAGCAATGTGCTCCCTGTGTAGAACACAGGGTTTGGCCCTGAAGGTCCAGTGGGAGCTGCCCAGAGCCTATGAGCCTGGAGTCTAAGAGGTGAGCTAGGGTTCAGTTATCATATGACGACTGGGTTGAAAGCCTCTTGTTCAAGGATCTGGCCATTAGGAAGGCAGAAGTGGTCAGAATAAGAAGGTGACAACTGACCAAGCCATGAAGGAAAATTAGGATATGAGGAGGTGAAGAGGATGTCTCATGGCCAGGGCACATGTCTGAAGTGGGTTCAGGAAGCAGGAGAACCACAGATACCTGGAGCAAGGAGGAGGAAAGGCACCGTGGGAGATGGGTTGGGAGCCTTTAGGAGCACCCATATTACACACCACCTAAGAGGCCCTGTTGAAAATCCGTTTCAGAGGTCGTTATGTGTTGAAGGGCTTAGAGTGGAAGAGTGCCATGACAGGTTCATAAATAAAAGGACTGTGCTGGCTCATTGTCCAGAGGACACCAGAGGGTCTATCTAGAACAAGTGACACTGTAGCAAACGGTGAGGGTACAGATGCGGGTCTCCTTAGGACCTGAGTGGATTGGAACAAGGAAGCTGTGATCATTGCCAGAATGTTCAGTTTGGAAACTAAATGAGGAAAACTGAAGAAGAAGATATCCAAGTGTTGCAGGGGACAGATGAGGCAAGACAGCAAGTAAGAACAGGGAGCAGGTTTGACTTGGCTATAGCCAGGTTCAGAGGGCAGAGCTTTTGCTGTGATCAATCAATTGCCCTGAACCCCAAGTTCAAGTAGTTTCAAAACTTTATACCCAGCATGTAAGGGGAGGGACTCAGAAGTTCACAGTCTGCAGAAGTTCACACAAAAGCAGCTCTTTCTTCCACTGTTCTGTGCAAGTTAACCCTTCAAGGACAACACCTGAGAAGGGAAGAGCTTCTTTTTCTCCCCTTTCTTTCCTCCCCTGCCAGCTGTTACCATGGAGCCCCAGTTGGTAACTTCTCTTATCTTAGAAATGTAGACATCTCTGTGAAGCCCAGCTCAAGGCCAGATGACTTGTTAAAGGATTTGTCCTTTTTTTTATCACATTTTGCGTTTGCAAACACACTTCTACAAACTACTATACTGGATAAATGTTTGTGAAAAACTAGTCAAGGGGCGTTTAGAACCTTGGAATGCTGATTTCTTCCAGGCCAGTGGCCAAGTAAAATAGAGCAACAGGAAAATAGGAAGTTTACCTCCATTGAACTCTTTTGTAGAGACTCTTTTGCTGATAGTCCTACAATCAATTATGGTGAAGATTTCTGGAGAAGCTTAGTTAAGATTTTCTGTGGAGGAGGGGCTGCCACTACACAAGAAGAAAAGACAGGTGGTGGATGTGGGATATGTGATGTCAATCAAGATGAGATCTCAAGATTGTCCACTCAGTTTGTGATCATGAAAAAGATCATCAGTGACAATCCATGTATGTGAAGGGGGAAATGTACAGTAGGGTGACGGGGCCAGAAGTCCCATTGCGGTAGATGACTGGTGGGTGGAAGATGAGGAAAGGCAGGAGACAGTGGGATTAGAAGATCCTAGGAGGTAGCAAGCAATTAGGGAGCAGTTTCTTTATTCTGAAGCTCTTGACAATGGTAAGATTTTTTTTTAAATATTTGGAATCTCTTTTAAGGATATGGTTAAGGTAAAGAACACAGAAGACAAAAGTGGAAGGACATGGGATTCGCCAGGAGGGCCTTGGCCCCTGGGTGCAGGAGAACTAGGTTCTCCCATCACAATAGAGGCAGCAACAGAAGGTGGCCATGGTGAAAGCAGGTTGTGTTGCCCACACTGGTGACCCCAGGAAGCTCAGCATTTCCCATGCCCTGGCCTTCCTTAATCTTTGCACTGTATCTGACAGGGAGACACAGCACCAGTCACAATGCATTGATGAACTTGGAAGGAATTTGCTGTGGAGAAAGCAACAGAGCCCATTTTGGTGAGGAATGTCTAGAGCAAAGTGACCATAGGAAAGGACAGTGGTGCTGCCCAGTTTCCTGAATCAGACCCACTCAATAAAATTGCAATCTGTACCTGAAA